GAACAAAAAAAAAGAAAACGAGTAAACAGTTATTAAATTAGTCATCGATTATTTTAATAATCGATTAGTCGTCGACTAATCGTGTCAGCCCTAATCCTCATTAGGGGAAATATATTTGGTAGGTCAGGGGTTCAGTTTAGGACTAATGTGTGAATTGAGTTTAGGTTAGGTTTTGGGTCAGGCATGTACCTGTGAGGTTAGGTTTAGAGGGGGTCAGGGCTAGGCTATAGTGACAGGTAAATGAATGGAAGTCAATACAAAGTCCCCATGGGGATAGAAGAACAAACATGTGTGTGTGTGTGTGTTAGTAGCCTTACCTGTGTTCTTTGGGCTGCTGAAAACTTGTCAGAGGCAACTCTGTCTGAGCGAGGCTGTCTTGACAGGGGGTCTTGACACACAAAGCCTGCATTGCAACAGAATCTGGCTTTAAATGTGACTTAATCCCGTAATCTTCACACACTAAGCAAAAAGACGGCACACAGCTGCCTAAAGTGAGCAACAAGTGAAGCCAAGAGTTTCAGACCTTTTAGAAATTACTTTTTTCTGAATTTAGTCTAGATATAAATTAGACATTGATGCGTCACTGAAATCTAAAATGATTGTAAAAATCATTTCATCAGATCATTTAAGTACATACTCATGTAAAAATGATCATTACAAGTCAAAAAGCATGCATAAAAATTACATTAAACCAAAAACACACAAGTAGTAGCAGCAATGTGTAACTCGAGATGAAAAGTTCCACTTAAATTCTTCAGACTGAAGGGGTTTATATACTACTGAAGAAAATTATTGGGGTTTGTTACTTACTGATTTAATTACATTACACATAGTATGGGTTGTTTTATGATAGAACTGTAATGACTGTTAAATGTGATTTTTGATTAACTTGATTATATATTAATAGATACATGCCTGATAACAAATACAACACATTTGAACTTTTAATCATTAGGGTAGATTTCTTTGTGAGAGGGCAGGGCTCTGACAAAGACAGGGGACCCCCTTCACTGACGATGTCATCAATAGGCGGAGTCCTGCCCTGAAGCTAATGTTAAATATTCTTGTGATTTCCTGGTACTCCATTAAACCGGTTGTCAGCGAGAGCGCNCCCCCCCCCGCTTCACTGATGACGTAATCAATAGGTGGAGTCCTGCCCTGAAGCGAATGTTAAATATTCTTGTTGTTTCCTGATTCGACCTGATTTCCTGTTACTCCATTAAACCAGTTATCAACGAGAGCACTCTCGGTTTTGTATGGTTTTCTTTAACACTCTCGTTGTATTGGCACATTCTCAATACGTTTTCGCACACATCCTGGTAACGAACACGAATTAACGCCTATTTCTTTCACTACCATGAAATATTAGAATATTCTGTTACTCTTTACAAGGACAAGTTTGTTCTTGGAAATTTTTATAGTCACAAAACACAAGGTATGTGTTTGAACCAGGGCTAAATGTAAAAAAAGAAAATGTCAAGAAAAACGTTTTCAGTTTTTAGCATTTATTCAATTATATTGGCAATGAGTCAATTTTTTTGATGGAGTTGTTAATACAAAATAGATATGAAAATGAGACTGGATTTTTCATTTCAATTTTAAATCAAAAGCAAGAATCCCAAAAATCTAAACTTTATAGATAACAGTGTGCTTTTAAAACTTAAACATAGCCTATTTTGTAAGATAAAGCTAAAATRAACAGGTACATCAAACATTTCCTTTATTTAGCATTGCAGAAAAAAAACTTGCTATTTCTACTTTATTACAAGCAATTTAAACGTTTTAGGCTCCATTTTTCCTTATTAAAAGTCTGTATGCTAAGATAAAACAGCCAGGTTGAAATTGTTACTGATCTACCACAATCAGCTTTTAAAATACCTTGAACATGTTCATCAAATAAACAAAAAGGCATATTTTACTGGAACACACAAAGATGATTCATAGTTTCACATATTTATATTTAAGTCCATTCATTGTGTTTATCACTTCACATTTCATCAAGATGTTCCCACCCTGTCAGAAATATTTATGAGGGTAATTTTATTGTTGATGTGTCGCACACCCTCCCAAAGCTACCCCAGTGGTCACAGCGAACTGTTTAATAATTTGTTTATGTCATATCTTGCACTCCCACATGAACTGAATGAAGTCTATTGACAGCTTTGAGCTCGAGGCTGTTTGTTCTGCCTCATTCAAGCCGTCAGCTAACCATCAGGGCCCTGCCGTGCTCTTGCCTAAATGCAGCAATTATTACAAACACTGGCGACATGGAGTTGACAGCTACACGCCGGCAGAAAATGAATGCTAATGGAATGCGGTCATTATTTACAGCACTGGGCYGCAGCCCAAGTGTTATCAGCCAACGGCGACTTAGTTTGTTTGGTACAAAATAGATGTGTTGTGTTTTACATGCCACTGCTCATTCTCTCTAGACCCACAGGAACGTCTCAGGCCAAAGATAACTGGCAATTTATGATTCTTCTCTTTCATTTAATGAGCCTGGGGGGAGAGTTTCAAGCCACAGCATGGCCCAGGGTAAGACACGCACACACATTTGGGCACACACACTTGGGCACATAACAGCCATTCCTCTAATATCATTAGGCTGAGACCTCAGATAAACAAAATGGTCTAGTGCCACTTTAGATGTTTCACAAGTGGGCTAAGTGCACAATATGAATAGCAATAGGAGAAAAGTCAAGGATTATATAAACAGTTCAGGTTTGAGATTCTTCTTGTGTTAAATGTTCTTATTGGGAAAGGGGATTCAGTCATTAAGGGTGGGGGGCCCTTTGATGGACTAACAACCTGTTCAGTCAGGGTGTACCTTTACTGTCACCTGATGACCGCCAGGATAGACTCCAACCCCACCTCCGCAATCCTGAACAGGACAACGCGTGTTCAAAGTATGAATGAGCGAAGAAGGGAGGAGACAGAGATGCATATCTCTCTCTCTCTCTCGGCTGCCAGACACAGTTACACTCTTTAAATATTGTTCAGCTCTGCTTCAGGCTCAAGATAATGAGTATAAAAAACACCAAGGCTTGTGATGACAATTTTTGTATGCTTGTAATTTAATGGTAATTAATAAAGGCTGTGGTTTATTTTCTCAACACTAAAGCACATAGTTGGAAACCATAAAGTTATTTTCAGCCGTGTGCACAAGCTCAATTTGTGGAGCGGTGGAAAACATTCTTTAACAAACCAAAAAAAAAAATTTAAAAAATAAATAAATCTGCTCGTTACAAGAATCGCAGCTGTGTTTGTGGAAGTTCACAAAATGTAAAACACTATTCTTTTCATGATGACTTTTGTCAATTTAGTTTTTTTAGATCAATATGGATGGATGGATGGATGGATGGATGGATGGATGGATGGATGGATGGATGGATGGATGGATGGATGGATGGATG